TGTGAGCCACCATGTGGTTGCTGGGAATTGAACTCAGGACCTCTGGAAGAGCACTCGGTGCTTTTAACCTCTGAGACATCTCTCCAGCTTAGCGTTTAATATATTTTCTTGGATGTCCTGTTACTGACAGAACTTTAGATAAATGGCAACTTTCCCTCTTAAAAATCTAACAGCTTGGGGCTGGAGAGAGAGATGTCTCAGAGGTTAAGAGCACTGGCTGCTCTTCCAGAGGTTCTGAGTTCAATTCCCAGCACCCACATAGTTGTTCACAACCATCTGTAATGAGATCTGGTGCCCTCTTCTGGTGTGCAGGCAAATATGCAGACAGAACACTGTATATGTAATAAAAATAAGTAAATAAATAAAAAAAACCCCCAAAAACAAAGAGGCGTTGGTGGCGCACGCCTTTAATTCCAGCACTCGATCTCCAGAACGGATAGGCTCCAAAGCCACAGTGAACCCTGTCTGGAAAAACAAACAAAAAAAAAAAAAGAAAAAAGAAAAAGAAAGAAATGTAGCAGCTTGTCATGTGGTGGCAGGTATTCTCTGAGCACGAGGCCAGCATGGTCTGCAGTGCGAGTGCCAGGACAGCCAGGACTACACAGAGAAACCCTGTGTCAGAAAACCAAAAGAAAAAAAATTGAGAATAGGAGGGGCTCTAAGGGAGAAATACCCATTTCTAAAACGTTGTTATATAAAATTTTTACATTTATGCATGTATGTGTATGTGTGTGTACCATGGTCTTGATGTAAAGAGGACAACTTTTGGGGGTTGGTCCCACCCTGAGGGTTCCAGGGATTAAACTCAGGTCATCAGGCTTGTGATATGAGCTTTTACTAGGTGATCTGCCTGTATAGCCTAATTTCATGTATTTTTTTTTCTATTTTTGATTTTTTAAGACAGGGTTTCTCTGTGTAGCTTTGTAGACCAGGCTGGCCTGCCTCTGTCTCCAGAGTGCTGGGTTTAAAGGCGTGTGTCTATTTCATGGTATTTTTTGAGACAAAGTTTCTCTGTGTAGCACTGGCTGTCCTGGAACTCGAACTGTAGGCCAGACTGGCCTTAAACTCAGAGCTCCACCTGCCTTGGCCTCCTGAGTGCTGGGATTAAAGGCTTACTCTTCTGCCACCACCTGGCTTTTAAACTTGAATTTTCATAGATGGTCTCGGAACTAGCCACCAACTTTGAACTGACAGCCCACACTACATTAAAAAAACAAAAAGTTGGACGTTGGTGGTGCACGCCTTTAATTCCAGCACTCGGGAGGCAGAGGCAGGTGGATCTCTGTGAGTTTGAGACCAGCCTGGTCTACGGAATGAGTTCCAGGACAGGCTCCAAAACAATACAGAGAAACCCTGTCTCGAAAAACCAAAACCAAAAAACTCCAAAACAAACCAAAATAAAAAGACACAAACTTGTGGGTTTTTTATTGTGTGTGTGTGCGCGCGCGCACACACACACACACACACACACACACACACACACACACACACACACACACCTGTAGAGGCTTGGCGCTGTGGGACTTCACGGCTCCCCAGCTTACTTATTGATCTGTGTATTTCATTTTATTACTGTGTGTGGGTGATGACTGTGTGGAGGGAGGAGGACAACTCTGTGGAGCAGGCTTGCTTTACTCCCCTTCCCGTGGGCTCCAGAACCAACTCAGGTCTCCAGCCCTAACCCTAACCCATCTCACCAGCCCTCCTTTACCTTGAAATGGGGTCTCATGTAGCCCAGGCTGGCCTTGCCTTGCTATGTAGTTGAGGGTGAGAGGCTGGAATTGTAGGTGTGCACCCCCATGATTTAGGGGGCACTGGGATTGGAACTCCGGGCCTCTTCATGCAGGCAACCATCTACTGAGCTACAGTCTCAGGCCTTCATTTATATTTTCTGACAGGTCTCTCATGGACCCTGAAACTGGACTCAGGGTCTGCCTGCCTCTGAGTCCCAAAGGCTGGGGTTACAGATGTGTCTGGCCTTTTGTGGGTATGAGGTGTAAACTCAGGTCATGACACTTACCCTGCAAGGACTCTACTCACAGAGCTTGTACTGGTTGGTTTATGTCAACTTGACACAAACTTGAGTCCTCAGAGAGGAGAGAGTGTCAATTGAGAAAATCCTATAAGATGAGACTATAGGCAAGCCTATGGGGAGTTTTCTTCCCCCCCTCCTCTTTTTGAGACAGGGTTTCTCTATCTAGTGCTGGCTGTCCTGGAACTCACTCTGTAGACCAGGCTAGATCTGTCTGCTTCTGCTTCCTGAGTGCTGGGATTAGTGTTCACCACTACAGTCTAGCTAGACTTTTTCCTAATTAGTGATTGATGGGGAGGTCCCAGCCCACTGTGGGAGATGCCACCCCCTGGCTGGAGGTCCTGATTGCTGTAAGAAAGCAGGTTGAGCAAACCAAGAGGAGCAAGCCAGTAAGCAGCACCCCTCCATGGCCTCTGCATCAGCTCCTGCCTCTAGGATCCTGCCACAGACTGTGAGCTAAGATGGAATAAATCTTTTCCTCCAACAGGTGCTTTTGATAGAAATCTAAAATTAAAAACTGTAAGACTGGGTGGTCTTGAACTTGCTGCATGATGAGGATGGCCTTGAACTCCTTACCCTCCTGCCCCTATTGCATGCTGGGACAGGTGTGCAGCTAAATCTGGCTCCAACACCTGCTGTAGTTCCCTAGTGACCCAAGGTTTTAGTTCTACTTCAGGGGTCCAAATTCCAGGTCTCTTCGGCTTCTTCCACCTATGTGGGTACTCACTCCCAACCAATCCCTCCTGAAGACTCAGACCCTTCCTCCAGGAAGTCTTCCCTGACTGCTCTGCTGTCAAGAGCCAAGCCATGGGCATATCCTCTTTCAGGGTCCTGTGGTCCCTACGATTCAGTTTTCGGATCTGATCCCCATGTGTCCCAACTGCCCACCAGACAGAGTCCCTTCATGACAAGCCAGGGGGCTGATGACATGGCTCGGCAGGTAAAGGCGTTTGCAGAGTGTCTGAGTTCATCCCAGGAATGCATACTGTAAAAGGGCAATCAGTTGCTAACTACAAGATGGGACATCAGGCCAAACAGAAGTCAGCACTTTGTGTGGGTCACGGAGCCTCAAGGCTAAGGCACTGCCCACCTCACAGCAAGCAGAGGCTCCAGATCTCTGACCCCCGAACAGACAGGACACACGTAGCAGCGCCTGGAAACGTGAATGTTTATTAGCGAGCGGTAAAACCGCCTGGCTTGCAAAGATGCCTTCAGAAACTGCTGAGATACCGCAAGGCAGGGAGCCCTGGCTGTGGATCGGGGGATGCGGGGATCCTGGGGCTCTGCATACTCCAAAGCCTGAAAAGGGATGGTGCCCTCGGGCAATTCCATCGGCGTCCGAGTCTATTCCCCGCGGGCCCGTCGAGGCTCCTCAGTGGCTCAGGGACTTGCGGCCCTTCAGCATGCGGCGGAGGATGACCTGCACGCCGGCCGGGGTGCTCAGCCGGCGGATCCAGCCGTGCTTGTGCTTGCGTTTGATGTTGCTGGGCTGGTACTCGTTCCCGCGCGTGCGGCCACGGGCTGGCTGAAGGGAGGGGAGGCCCCAGGCGTCCGCGAGCCCCATCCAGACCCTGGGTTGCAGCCACCTGTGGGACCAGAGAAACGGTGAGATGGACGCTGTGTGACCCCGGCGCGTCGCTCAACCTCTCCGAGTCTCAACTTCGCAATGTGCAGGGCAACGAAACAGCTTGTATGCAAAAGACGCTACATAAGTGTGCGTGGTAGTCGAGAGGTCACCCTTGCTCCCAGATCTGGAGCAAAGTACCCTGAGCACTCACCTGCCACCTAATTGGGCCGCCGATCTGCAGGCGGGGTACCCAAAATTCCGGGCTAGGGAAGCCATGTCTACAATCAGTCACTCTGTCCCGGCCGCCGTTAGTTCCTAGACCGTGGGTTCCGCGACGATGCCTTCTGGGAAGTGTAGTTTCATGTGTTGCTGCGAGGCACTCCGGGAGCTGTAGTTCCACGCCTGCGCATGCTGATAAACTGGAGGAGGCTGGCCTCAGTGGAGTGGAGTTCTCCAAAATGACCAGCAGGTGGCGAGCGTCGACTCCTCAATCTGCGCGTGCGTACGACATCCTGTCGTCGTCTTCTGGGAGTTGTAGTTCTCCTCGGCCACAGGTAGAGGGCGCCCCAGGGTGGCGGTGACGCTGCTGGCCTTTTCAGTCACCCTCACTGGGGACAGGCAGCTGGCACGCAGCCGGCTGGCGGCTTCTCCGCGACCGCAGCCAAGGCTTCTCTTGGCGCGCATCCCGGATGTCCTTGAGTCCTAGCTCTTCGCAATCTGGAAAAACTCATGCGTTGTGAATGTGCCCTGGCTAGTTTAATCCCTCAGGCTGGCCTAGAGGAATTGTCTTCCTGCAGCTCAGATCGGGACTCCCCCTGCTCACACACCCTCCGTGGCCCCCCATCGCGCTAAGATGCGCAGCCCTCACACGAGCATCTCTGAAGCTGTCACTATGCTCTGAACCCTACCCGCCCTCTAAAACGGCCACTAGTGCCTGACAATAATGGGGAGGGGAGCGTGCTGAGTACCTACGCGTGTAAGGGATGGCGGCGAGTGTCGGGGCTGCACCTTGAGTCCAAGGCCAGGGAAGGAGGAGGGTCAGCCTGGGCTCCTGGCTTTGCGCTCTCCTCGGACTCGGGCTTGGCCCAGACCGCGCCGCTGGGATATAGTTCCCGTTCGCTAGTTCCCCAGCTCCGACACAAGTGTTTCATTCCCAGGACTCGGCATTGACACAGCCTCGTGTCTTTTTGAGTCTCGGTTTCCCCGTCTGAAAGTGCAGAGATTTGGGAGTCTGTTTGCAGAACGGAAAGGTCAGCAGAGACCCGGCACACGCCGCCCCCACCCCCGGAGGCAGAAGCTGGCTGAAGAGACCCAGTCCCAGACAGGGCGTGTTTCCTCGCCCCCCACAGCACCGCTTCCCCCGGGCTGCAAGCCCTTTTCGGCCCTGGCACCGGCCCATCCCTCCCCCACGTCCCCAAGCCCTTCGCAGGGGCGGGGCTGCTGCTCGCAGAGCCCGCGCTAATCCTGGAAGCGCAGCCTCTGGTTGGACGGTTATCTAGGACAGGTTGGCTCGCGGCGACAATAGGCCGAGATGCCCGCCCATCGGCTCGAGGCCCATCCCACGCTGGGTGGGACTTACGGGGCCGGTTTGCTGCGCGGCTGCGGGGTGCCCCTTCGCTGACCGCCCCGGGCCCGCGCCTGCCCGCGCTAATGCGGCCGATCCCGCTCCACCATGTAAGCGGCACCTGCAGGTGGATGCTGGCTTCTCCGCCCCCTGGCCCCGCGCCCCG